ACAACACCTAAACACGGAAGTTCTGACATGAAACTTTTCCAGATAGTTTGCGGTCGTGTCGCTTCAGTTGTTAATAGCTTGTCTGTGGAACCCGGGAATAAGGTGAAAGCAAATGCAAATGTCAGTCTAAATCCTTTCGTTGTGAAGGATTCGAGAATTCGCCCACCACCAAGGTAAATTCGCCTCCTTCATTTCATGTTCCCTTTCCGCCAGTATCTTCATTTACTGCACTTCGATGGAGTCAGACTTCCTTCTACGCATGTATAGCTCATGATTGCCGATGCACAACGCTAGAATGCGTTTATTAATCCTGAATTTCTCCACCGAGTTGTAGAATTCCTTTGCAGTCTTGTCTGCTGGTTGGATTGTAAACTTCTTGTCATGAAAAGGGGGGTTTCGACCTTCCGGCCAAGGGAACCCGATTTTGGGGGATCTGCATGTATTGTACCAGTGCATCATCAGATCGAACCGTTGCGCGTCGGCTTGTTCTTACTGTTCTTTTTCGGAAATCAGTCGACTACTTGGCAAAGTTTAGCAACACAAACGTAGGATGCCAGCAAGACAGCGGTGTTTGTCGAGCAATAGATTTTCCTGGGCACTATGTCGCTTTTAACAAACGGCCAACGAAGAACAAGCCGCAGAGAGAGACCCCACCTCGGCTGCAGCAGAGGTTCTTCAAAAGCACTAAAAGTCGTTGAAAATGTCGGGTTCGCTTTCCGTTGCCACCAGTGTAGCGTGCCTAGGCTTCCAATAGGGTGGAAGAAGGCAGAAGTGAGGTTGAACACATGTATTCCGAAGACGACAGGGCAAATGGGGACTGAGTGTAGGCTGAGGGCTAGTCCACGTGTACAGGAGCCAGACAAACTCTAAAGTGACCGTCAAACGTCAGGTAGTCACATAACCATAGCATTACCGTCACTAGCTTACCAGTGGAACATGGAGGTGGTGTGGATGCCAAACCTAGGCGTCGTTGTCGGTCATTTCGTTGTGCAGACGTTAGAGATTTACCGGTTCGAGACAATAACTTCAAACCACAGAAGTTTATCACGGACGATGAAGACCAGTAATGCAGTTGTAACGGATTCGATTTTGCTTTCCGCTGTCGTCGGTGTAACTGTAATACTTTGTGGATGTGACCGCCTGATGTTGGGCGGTGACGTCGTTATTGGTTTGGGACTTGCACTCGTTGGCTGGCCTTCTTCTTCTTTCCTAGAATACATGCATTCTGTTTAACATGCTGCCCTCTTCCCCTGGCAGGAAGTCACGGGGAGCTAATATTGACGCGCACAAAGGTAGAACATAATCACAATGCTTTTTTTGTGACCATCTGAGGTCTGATGGTAAACTCTATTTTGTTTGCCCCTGCATGCGTGGGTTAACCTAGAATATATGTATTTTGTCCAACGGGATCCTTTCTTTTACATGGTGGGAAGTCTCAGTGCGCAACAATCATTGCCCGACGTCAGGTAGTCACATAACGCAGCATTGAAAATACACTTGCAACTTCTTTCGCCGAATGGTGACCTCAGGACGTTAAAGTATGTTCTTCTTAAGGAGTTATTATTAACGATTACTCGAGCAGGCTCTTAGGGAGGCAGAGTTGCAAGTTTATCAAAATAATTCTTAAGACACAGTTCCACAGAGTCTAGGTTGGGTTTAAGAAGCTAGGTTATTTAAATTTTGGGAGCTTGGGAATTAATTTTTAGACTTATGCTGGTTTATACTTATCGACTTGAGTTGTCCTTAGGCCAGCTTATTCAAACTCATTGCTACCGTGTTAGGGAGGCTCGCAACGCGTGTTGTAGTCTAAGCGTTCAGACAGTTCGTTTCGTGCGACCCATAAACTGGAATCTATGAGCTGTCGCAGGCGGTTGAGTTGGTGTTAGGAACAGTGAAATAGGAGGTTTGGTTCTCTTTCCTCTTCATTCAGGTAAGAATTTTATGGTGTTGGTGCTCTCTCTCTGTTGTTTTGTGGTCACTAAGCTTACCTTGGATTCTACTGTCATGGCAATATGGTCAAGGATGACACCTTTTAGCTAAGCAGTACTTTGGTAAGCTTACAATATCGCGTCGACACATCGTTTTGATCCTTTCTGTTTTTGTTCGTTAAGTTCTGCAAAAGCAGATTGGGGTTAATTTTACGCCTTGGACTGGTAGTATAGAGCAAATCACTTTAATGTGAGATGTACGTTTTATTTATCAATGCTTTATTTCCCCTTCTAAATAAATCTAATAAAGTTACCACGGTCAAAGCTGGCGAAGACGAAATTCTGCAAGGGCATTTTAAATCGGTGGCGGCATTAAAGAACTATGATCTTCGGAATAATGTTTTACCTTTGAAGGGCACGAGATGCTCGACATTCCACTTGTTTTCCTGTAGCAAATTTATTTTTTAACACATCTTCCTCAGGAATTTGAATAACAATGGCTATGACAAGCAATCGGAATGAGAAAATTATGTTCCGTAGACACGTGCCTTTTAACTTCATTTAAGTCTCTACTAATGTGCTTGCATAACTCAGTGGAAGGTGTTCAGATAAGGGCAGCCAACTCTTTTGTCACTCGGCATACGATTTCGTTTTCTTACCTTTTGTAATTTTATTTAAATTATTCTTTAGATGACACACACCATTTCCGAGAGCGAGTACCTTTCATTGGGTAGTGGAAGTCATTATCAAAGAAATACCTTGAAAACTTCTGTTAACAAGAAAAGATGGTGCGTCATCAATTTTGTGGTTGACTAACGTTTTTCCCTACCTTAACTCAGTTTTTCTTCTTTTTGCTGGCACGTTAGTTCAAAATCCTGGCGTGTTTTACAGCAAAGAAGGAATGCTTCACCGAATTCATGGGCAGATGATGCCTTGGTACGTTTGGTAGTAATCCCCTTGAATGTCTGTCTGTCTTATTATTATTTTATTATTTTTTTAGGCAATGAATCGTTGCAGAACGATGTCAGGGTCCCAGCCAAATCTTTCGTTTCAGCCACCGTGGCCTGAACCACAGCCCAAGCGTTCTAATAGTCTGGTAATTATCGGCGTGATATTACTCTTCTGTGCATGCTGGAGAAATAATTTATCTGTTTGCTTTAGAGTGAATTGGGCACAGGTCGTGGATTCACTGACCCCATTCTTTTGGAAGGAGTTGGTAGTGTAGGTGGAATCATTTATCATTGAAATTATAGGACATTTTGTTAAAGAACAATTTTGCTAATTTCCAATAGCCTCGGGCTTTTCTACTGTATATGTCATTTCCTTGTCAAATAACTCAACTTGAGTCCACAAAAGGAGCTATTCGAAAAGAAATTCCTTCTGAAAATTAGAAATAGCATTAGGTATTGGTAGTGCAGATAAATATTTGTCCAGTGTTTCATGAAAACCTCATTTTCCTGTTTCATCAATATAAATTCATTCCTGCGCTGCGTAATGCGGAACCTAAGGTTTTAACTGCACCAGGTCTATGAACATTCGTTCACTTTGAAAATCTTATACAAGTTAATCTAAAAGTAATAAGGGAAAGGGGGGAGGATGCAGCTGACCGCTAGTCGAGGTGGAGGATACGTTGAAGAGAACTGATGTGCTTCCTTTTGAAATTTAGCAAGATCAGTTTGCAAGCTGATAATCACATGCGAACTGTTTTGGTAGCGCCGGCACCAATCGATGGTGTTCTTTTAATTTCGTGTTTCTTCACGAATATGCGCCTAACTGCTCTCCCTCGGCTAATTTAAGTAATATTTGCATAATTGAATCAAGATTAAAGTAAAAGTTTGTAAAGCAGGAGTGTCTATGCTCTTGATTCCCCGTCCTATATACCAAATCTTACTCTTAATTATAATGTATTGCCTTTATTCTAGGGAACTTATTCAGTTGTTTACAAATGCAAGTTGGAAAATAATGGACCTATACTGGCGGCAAAAGTAATGAAGATGAATCCCTCCGAAGGTGCTCCAGGAACGGCTATTCGGGAAGCCAGTATCCTCAGACTACTTAAGCATGATAATATTGTCACCTTACATGAAGTCATTTATAAGCCTGGGCAACTAACACTGATACTCGAATACATTGTAAGTAGCTACGAGCTTGCTCATAATATTTGTGAAAAGTATTTCATTACCATCTCAATGCTCAATCCTTATTACCTCGATCTTGGGAATAATGAACTGTCATGGTCTAATGCGACACTACTGTTCATGCATCAAAAAGAATTTGTTAATGCGCAAATCGAGGCTGGCAGAATCTCGACGCCTCTTTCACTCCTTTAACCCCGACCGATGTACTTGCTGAGCAATGTTGGGCCCACATTAGCAACATCTGGAATCCACCTATATCTCGATGCCGGTAATGCATGCTTTAAGTCACTTCTTATGATGCCAGCTTTGCGTGAGATTTGTGGTTAGACAGTTGAATGAAGGAAATTAGAAATTTAACGTGTGCAATGCTTTATCGGCTGTGATCGGGCCCCGTTGCTTCGCTGGGGTACGATTTTCTTTTCCAGTCTTTGAATATCTAGTTTTACTTTTTAGGAAGTTTCACTTAAATACGAAACTCAATCAGAGCGTCTCTTTTGCTGTTTACTGATAGAGGGTCAAAAAAGTCTTCTCAAAATGGAACTGCACGGCTCTTTCTCATTTAACATTGGCCCCGACATTGCGTTCGGAAGAATAGTGATAGGGGCTTCACTTTCTGTAAAATGCGTCGCCTCAAGCATGAGATAGTGATTAGGTGCTTCAAATTTCACTGTGCATAATTTAATGCCTCTGTTTGCAACTCCGTTCTGCAATGTATTAGCGCGGCCCAAGCATTTAAATAATTAAAACCCGGAATTCGTTTAAATTGACGTTAATCATCAAGAGCAGTGCTATCCTGACCGCCTTGTTTTACTTCTCATTCATATTTTAAAGGTTTTCTCGAAATGTTGTTGTCCTGCCTTCATAGTTGTTGCACTTAACTTGTTTTAAAATCTATGCTTTTATTATCACGATAGGAAGACAACCTCTCCACGTACATGATGAAATGCGATTTGCCAAGGGACAGTGATACTGTTCAACGATTTTCCATTCATTTATTTCAAGGTCTGACATACATACACAGAATGAAAATTATTCACAGAGACTTGAAACCTGACAATCTTCTGATTACAAACAGTGGCGTTTTAAAGATAACAGATTTTGGTAAGTTCTCGTGGTAATGCGAACGTCTTTTTACCGTGATTCGCATACGCCTAGAACTCATAAATCCATTTTAATGTGGATGAAACATGTACTGTTTTTATAGGAGCCAAGGCGATTTCAAAAGTGATTAAATTGAAGTTTTGTGATTTGTATGAACGTTAAGTGAAATTATTGGAAGACATTTCGTATGAGTTTGATAAATGAAAGGCGGTGCGCGTCACTTGACAATCGCTATTTGGGCTTGGCATGAATGTCTTACAAGAGGGAAATACACTTTACCACAGATGGAGGTTGCAAACATGGGGTTTCTCTTAATTAGAAATCCGGTTCAGTTTGTTTGTTTGTTTTGCTTTAACCCGCAGGAATGGCTCGGCAGAAATTCGCTCCAATGTGTGACTTGGGGAAACGTGTTGTAACCCTTTGGTAAGCTCTACTAGAGATTATGGCATGAACCACTGATTTCAATCATTGCACCATATTAGTTCACATGTCTGCCACCTTTGGCCTTTTATTGCTTCCTCATGGGACTTATGTCACTGATGCAACGGATGTCGTGCTTTCAGTTGTCTTAGAGCAGAACATTACATATTTATAAAGTTAAAGTTGAAAGGCGTCAGCTCGTACTGAATGTAAATTATGCAGAGGCAGAAGTATCCTTTGCTCATCGCGCCATCAGGTGCGGTTAAAAATAGACCTCAACTTTTGCATCTTCCGTCGTGTGAACGCTGTCTCAATTGGCAGTAAAGGATTCTCAAGTACTCTCTGATGGGTCCAATTTAGGGATGACCCTTGCTTCTCGAAATGGTTTATCTTGATCACTTTTACAATGTGGGGATGGATTTGCCCCTTTCATCTCAGACGAATTTTAACTTAACACGTGAATACCTTTCTCTTTGGCTACCACACTACAGGAAGCAGTATACAAGCCACTTTTGTTATTATCGCGGCGTCGGTAGGGACTGATGATGATAGTGAAGGTGCTCGAGACACCTTTGAGTTGGTCCGAAGCAATTTTGTGAAATCGAGGCTTAGCACCTTAGCATGAAACACGTTCTTTTTGCAATAGGAATGGTCTATGCACTCAGTGAGAAGAGCAGTGCATCACATCATCTCCTCCTCAAAGTACGAGTTATTGCATAGGACCTTCATTGTGCTGGCTACGCGCTTAATTAATCGGCATATGTGTGTAATGTAGAGAATGCAATTGGGAAGTTGACATGCTGTTGAATCCTGGATCACATTGGGTAATGTATGCGTCGATCACATCGGTCGTTGCTGACGGTTTAAAGCTAAGGGAGCAGTGTACAGTGGTACACAAATGGTGACTTGGCTAACTGCAATGTTAACTTCGGCACCTCTTTGGTGTAATGTGAACTGTTTTTTAAGTTCTTTTACCATAAAATACAGAACTTTCGTACATTTAAATGCAACTTTTATCTAGTTGAACACTTGAGTTCTTGTTGTCCAACACAGTGCTTTGGCTACAAATCTGGCCTTTTTGTCTCCTAACCAGCGCGTTGCTGAATTCTCTCGATAAGTTTTCACTGTGCTTTGTTATCTTTAAATGTCTAGGTACAAAGCACCAGAAATTCTCCTAGAGGGATGCAAATACGACTTTGGTATTGACGTATGGAGCGCTGGGTGCATAGTCTACGAGATGATGAACGGTGAAGTACTCTTTGAGGGATCCAATCCTCTTACTCAGATTTGTAGAATCTTCCAAGTGCTTGGTAGGCAATTTCCTTTTGCGTTTTTTGAATAAAGGATAGCTAAAGAGTTCTTTTGCATGAATATACTAACTAAGGAAATGACTATTGACGTACGTAAATTGCTCCGTTTCAGATACTCTGTGAATCCATTTTGCTGTCCGATGATTGCTGATAGTCACTCTTTTAGCGTGGATATGCGATGGGGCCAGATGGAAGTTATGTCACTGTATCATATTTTTATCAGCTAAACTGATTTTCTCACTGTAATCTGTGTCAAACATAACCAATCTAATAGTAAACAAATTAGTAAACAATGTATCATTAGAAACATTTACTGCTAATCGAGGTGACCTCTTAACAAGAGGGCAATGAAAACTTCGTTGTTTCTTTTTCCAGGCATGCCCCCACTTTCATATTGGCCGGATTTGAGATGCAATCAAACATTTCAAAAGATTCAAGAGATATTGGAGAAATGTTATCCTACTGTTGGACCGACGTTGGAAATATATGACATAAAAACTCACCTTAAAAACAGTTTCACCAATTTGTCGAATCGCCATTGGCGCGAACATGCAGATGCTTTTGATCTATTAGAAGCCTGTCTGCAACCATACGAACCAAAACGTATTACTGCAAAGGAGGCTTTGGATATGGATTTCTTGGTTAAACGTGTGATTCCGTCTCAAAACTTCCAAGCGCACGGTTTGGTGTCCTGGAAGCGTTGTAGTCAGACTAGCACATTGTCTAACTCGAAAGCGATCTTCTCCATTACTGAGGTTAACAACGACCCTAGTGCGAGGCGGGGTCTCGACTATGTGCCCCAGCATTCAAAGAGCTCTCTGAGATTTATTGGAGTGAGTTTACCACTACTTTTTAGAAGTCAGAGCACCCAAATTCAATTTTTTTTTCAAACTAAAAGCGTAACTATCTGTTTCTGCATCTATTTTGGGTATTTTAAAACTGCCAAATGAAGCTGATTACTAATAATACTTTCAAATTAAAACTTTCATATAACTTGTCATTGACTTCTAGAAATTCTAATGGATAGTTTGTAACGGTGTCAATAGAATGGTTGCTTACCTCGACAAAGCCTACAGGGAGGGCAAGAAGTAAATAGCTTTCTATGTTGGCCATCGAGTCGGAGTATGCGTGCGGTAGACAGTAAGATGATGGGCATTCGGGTCATGGACGTGCTTCGACTGTCTGGTCACACTTGAAACCTTAATTGTCGCCATGGCTATGAGGAACTTGAAATCGTATGCATGAAATATTGCTTCATCCACGTGTGTGGGTGTCAACAGTAGATCTGGCAATACGACGCTTATTGTAGAAGCAGAAACAATCACCCGGCTAACAAGAATTCGCCAGATTTTTGTTGGCATTCGAAAAGGCTACGCAAGTCGAGAATTGAGTGATTATTTTCCGCAACTCTCGTCTCACTCTAGGATTTTTTAAGAAGTCGACTTTGAATTCCTATTTTTGCATCGACTTCGCTAATTTTCAAATACTCTGTAGCAATGTTTTGATTGTACGCAATTTTGTGAATGCGTATGACGTCAGTCTGCTATTTCTCGAAGCGAGGTTGTGAAGGTAGCGTTGGCGTCCACATAGCGTAAAATCGAGGTGCATTGGAAGAGTGCAGAAAATGCTTTTGAAGGCTTGCAGAAATACTGAACATGTGGGCACATTGCTTTCAGTGCCTATAAAAATTGTGCATTAAAGTATGGCCATGAACCAAGTAGAGTACCTTTGGATGAGTTGCTTTGATGGTGGCCTTTGGACGACTTACTGCTGAAATGCTGGTAAGACCAAATGAAGGTTGATAGGCAATGTCCATTCATGAATGCTAATGAATTGTGAAATTAATACTGCTGTTATGGCTATGGCATCTATTTCAAGAGGCCGCAGCTCAATTCTCAATCGTTCCCTAAATACTTCAACCATTCTATTTATAATGTATGGTGTTGGTCGAAGAAAACTAGACTGGATCGGTGATGAAACCACCACTTTTGGAATTTTATAAGTAGCAACAGCACCGATTAAACTACAGCATCGTGAACATACAACTCTCAATTTCGAGCCAAGGGTGTATTTTATACCTTACGCTTACTAATTTCCTACTTTCAGAATGCTAAGGGAGGAGCATGGTCCACTTCCTTGGATGTCGTAGGAAATAGCATGCGGTCCTATCGCAAATCTAGAACATGGGCAGGCCGTTTTCATTCATCGCGAACTCCTCCTCTTCCCCCTCGTTCATCAATGCCGCTAAAAGTAAGGATCTGAATGTGTTTATCTATCATGTCTTTGGGGATTAGAGTAGCTGACTATTAATTGCTGTCTGTGAAGCCATATTGGCAGCAACAACACCTTTCCGACGTACTCACCTCCTAACAGACGTGTTTCTGCCTCTTATATGGATTTGTGGTCTTCCAGTTAGAGTCGAGTAAATCCTTTTCCTTCTTCAATCTTCTTTGTTTCAGACCCTTAAAGAAGAGCGTTACTCCAACTCCTCGAATATCCTACTCCCTCCCCCGTCGTCTAATAGCTATGAAGTCTTCAATGACATTTCTCATCCTTCACGCACGCTTCCTCGACGTTTCTGTTATCAGCGTGCACAAAAAGTACCGCCAAAAGTAAGAATTCAGAGTTGTTTACCTGATATCAGTCAAGCTGATTGTTAAAAGTCGTAGATATCAGTCCTACTTTTATGTACGCAAGGGCTTGTTAAAGTTGGTTCATGAATCGTCGTTGAACTCAATCCAAACCTCCCAATCGTGCAAGTGCGAGTGAACACGTATATTAATCTATTCTAGTTACAAATTTGAGTTTGGTAAGTCGTATGGGGTAACGATAGTGGCAGGCTGTGACGGTGATTCCAAACGCATCGAGTAGAGCGAAAATCGTCATGCATGGAGAGTGAAATGGCATAATGAGTCTTATTTACCGCGAGAATTATGTGAGGACAGAATTTTTTTACAATAGATATTTCTTCGGTTATTGTTGGCACTGCCATACATTGTGGGTGGACCCCTTGAGGTGCGGAGTAGCGCCTCTTATTCTCGCCTATTTCATGAGACACGTATAAATGCTCACTTAAATGCCAAAGGAAGGAACTTGGTTTTCTGGTGATTGGGACTCTGACTTCACCTAAACGAACCGATTGAAGTGAAGGTGCAATCACTTAGGGTTTAAAATTCTGCCGCATTTGTTAATTGGGCACATGTGTTGCAAAGGTTCTACAGGATGCACCCGATTTCCCACATGCCACTGTGTGTAATTCAGTCACTAAACTCTAAGAAGGATTGTGTTCTTCAAACAAAATCCTTTTTTTCTAAAATAACCTACCATCTATTCATACGTGCTACATATCGTAAAATAAGCGACAAAAATTATAGCCATAGTCACGCATTTACTTATCACGATTAACTGACAAGGCTAGTCCTCTCCACTATGGTTCTCCTTTCTTATTTCTCCCCCTCCCTGGGGTCGAGGCAATGTCATTAACCGCTTGGAAACATTTTGCTATTTTGAATGCTAAGCACTTTTAAAACGTTTTACTGTATAATTTATGAGTAGCGAGATCACCAAGTTGGCAATTAATTTGCAATTTTACAAGCCACCGGCTTTTGTTGCGGGTGCGTTTATCTTCGCTTTACAGTTAAGATCTGCTTGCTTTCAAACTTCTGACGGGAGAATTCAAGGTAGTACGCAGTCTCTTGCTAGCTACAAGGCAGTAGCTGGCAATCGGGCATCTTCTCTTGTCTCCAAATTTCCGACACCGCCGCCAATAGTAAGAACCAGAATTAAGTTGGAATTTGCATTCTTTTTAGCACATTTCTGCTGGGACGGCTAAATATCGCCTCACATTTAAAACTCTAAATGTTTCTTCACCTATCTATCAAGTGTTGCAACTTGAAGTTTAGTAATTTATCTTCAGTGAGAGGTGGAGGGTTTAAATTCAATCCAATTTTCTTCAACTAGTTTTATTCATTTGCGTGATCTCTCACCATTTAAATGCATTTGCAATTAAAATTGCGATGAAACTACAATTAGTAGGTGCTAAGATCGAAACTGTTCAAAACATTTCAAGGTTTGCTTAAATTTTAAAATAAACCTGACAAACGCCTGCACATTTGTGTTGATGCTTCCTCTATTTACAATTGAAGATTGCTCCTTTTGTCAATTTTCTTTTTAGCCACCTCGTTCGTCACGTTCCTCTATGACTACAGGCTCTCTCCGCCCGTTGGAGGTGATATAATGCTTCCAAGTAGGTCATTCCCAACTCTGTAATTGTATTCGGCACAATCTACCATGTCTGCTATTAGTGTTTGCTTATCTAGGCGACCGACACTCCTGTTACGACACATTTGACCATACTAGAACTTTTCGAATCGGAGATTGGAAATAGAGTTGTTAAGCCTGTTTATGGCTAACTGATAATTTGTATGGTGATATTTGAGTTGACGACGTTTAGAAACTGGGGATTGCATTTAATCTCCCTTAATTTACCTATTTCTGTATTGTCAAACGTCTAATGAAGGTAATTCTGGATGAACCCACAAAAGGTCAGAATTCGTTTCTGGAATTAGGATATATATGTGTATTTCGTCTACTTGATGGATAGTTGAATCCCTCTGGCCATGTCATAACACTTTGTGCTCTACAAAAATGTAATATAAAGGACTTTCTACGTCCAGTAAAATTTCTTAGTTCCTCTACCACCGCAATGGAGTCTACTGATTCGCAACTTGCTTTCATGAAAGGAGAATAAATTTGTTCATTCACCAAACATTCTTTGTTTCACTGTCGAATGGTATAGCATAGTTCCGGGTAAAATTCCTAATCTCAAATTTTCGCCGTTATTATCAACTTTGGTGGTTCTCTGTTTGACAATTGCGAAAAGCCCTATTTTTGTGATCATATGCGTCGGGAGTTACAGGCAAGTAACCGGATGTTAGCTCCATCGAACGGTCGAAAGTTGGAATGTAGTTGCCGGATTTGTAGCCCTCTTGGACTGATTTTCCTAGTGGACACATTATTCCTTCCCTTAAAAATATGCGGGTCTTGTCCAACTCAAAACTGAATTCCTAAGTACCTGGGTAGTTTTTCAAAACCTTAGTTTAGTAAACTCCATGTCGTCAGTAGACAGGGTTGGTCCCGCTGTTGTACTGAAATAAGTTTTCTTAAAACACTTAATTAACTTTTAAAGACTTATTCCACTTTACAACCACTAATTGTCGCAAATTCGGAGGCTTCGCTTATGCTCAAGTGTCGCTAAAACATTGTGTTCTCTGATAAAATAACGATTTCTTCTCGACTCATCAACTAATATTGCTATTGAATTCCCTCATTTCTGAGTGGTGAGGGATAGACTAGGGTTTGACAGAGTGTTTGCTTTCTATTGCCTTCGGTGTCGCATTTTTGCAGTATAATAGTTATTAGCAATGAGCACCCGCCTTTGCGCCTTCCTGCGGCATCAGCAAATTGGGTCACTTGGTCTGCATGCTGATGCCGCAAAATGGACCTTTCACATCGGTTCATTTGTTCATTTTAAAACGCATTCTATCCACATTATGAGCTCCAATTTTGCTTGTATGCTTTTTCAATGCTCGTGTGAAATGTGTAGAAGTGCGAGTCGTGTGCCGTGTGTGTCGTGTCATTCTTATATGAATGATTCTTTGTTAAATTGACACGAATTACACTAGAAACTAGAAGGTAACTATGCGTCCGAAGGCTAGAATTTTGGCAACGACTAGGAATGAATTTTGTCGTACTCGAGAATGTGCAAGTTATGTTTCTTCTCTCACTACCCCGAGTTCGCAAATGTGCGACATCTGGAAAGTTGACAGTGGTAGTCTTCTGGAAGCCTCCTCCATCACCATCATGTCTGGCTGTAAACAGCACGATTTGACGAAGAAAACCCGTTTTTTCGAGCTCCTTAGCTGCTGTCAGGTTCGTTTGAGCTAGCTTTTTTCCACACAATTTAGACTGCAACTCCAGATCCTTTTTGTAAGCTGCCATTTGTTCAATTGAATCCACTTGATTTGAGAACTAAAACCATCATAAAATGTGAAGGTACTGAGGACGCGACCCGGATGTGAGCCAGTTGATGACACTAGCTCAAGGCCTCAATGTGTTTGACAATAAATTCGTGTTGTGTCCGAACAAGGTTTTAATGTTCTGTTTTTTTTATTTTTTCATAAGAAAATGAAGACCTAATGTATCTTGGTGTAGCCGGTGTTCGATAGGGCAGGAGTGACCAAGTGAATCCACAAAGCGAATAATATTTTCCGTGTCTTTGCAGTCGAAGTGAACTTGAACGAGGCCAGCGCTCATACCGAGTCCGCGGTGTAACGTAAGTCCAGCCTTCAGCAGCAGTCGTTTCGGTGATCGCGGAAGCGCGCGACTGCTTGGCATCGATCAACTACTTCGGTCGTTGATCCCATTCCACTCGTCCGACTCCTGTCTTCATATGCATTTCGACTAACTCAGTCTGAATTATGTGTAAAATGTAGCTTATTAACGTATTATTCTGGTATTATTTATAGTTGCAAAACCCTTTTATATCGACAACTTATAAGTGGTTGAGTAAACAATGACGTGAATGCACTTTATAGGAAAGGTTTGCAACATCTCACGAAACGAGTCTTTACTTTACTATGTAAATAAGTATTCTTGATGATTTGATTTTTTCAGGATATTTTGGTTGAGCACTTTAATTAATATGAGAGTTCTAATCGTTTTTCGTATTTGTTCTTTCAACTTATTTAAGTCCTGTAAAATTCGGTGCATTTGTTTATACCTCCAAATAGAGAGTAAAACGAAATCTTGAATCAAGAAAACATTGATTGGCGGGTCAGGCTTCTCGCTTAAGAGATTGAGGAAATCAGTGAAGCAGTCAAAGCATAGATAGAAGATATTTTTTTTTCAGGGCGCTAACCATTGACTTATATATGAGTTTTATGTGGAAAATACTCTCGCACTTGAACCTATCATTTCCATGGCAAGAGTTTTTGGATTTAATAAGTATTTTGTGGATTTATTGCCTTTTTATGGAGGTTTCGCCGTCGAATACTTGGCAATAAGGGACCAAGATCATACGTGAACGGCTGTGACCACGATGTGTGAACACATCGAGGTCGCCGTGTGCTCACACATGGTCACATGTGTACCCAGACGTCTAAGGACCCATAAAATCGTTCAACTTGGGGTATTTTGATTCATTTGTGACTGCTAGGTTAGCGAGTAAATTGTTTCTCCTCCGCACGC